GTTTCCCCACCCCCCGCCGCCCTGCGCTGCAGCTCTGCCATGCTCCTCACTCCCCCGCCCCCACCAGACGTGGCAGGAGAAAATTGTCCCAGGGAAAAATTTCCGTCCCAGGGAAACAGGAAATACCGGACATTTCATATGTCCAGTATTTCCTGGGTTTTTTTTTTATCATACAGAGCTCGCAAATACCGTACTGTCTGGGTGAATACCAGACACCTCGCAACCCTACTCAAGGTTGTAGTTTATTGTGTTTTTTTTGTGGGGGTGCAAAGTGAGATGGGGGAGAAGAATGTAGATACATTTTTATATTCCTGCCTTGCAGTTTTCTTCTACAGAATTGGTATTGTCCTCTGTTTGAAGTTGTGGCCATAGTTGCAGCTCTGTAACAATGTATGGATACTGTATGTTCATCTGATTTGGGGGATGCTTACTGTATGAGTCTGTTGGTTTAATTTAATACCAGACTATAAGGAAAAAAACGGAGAAAGAGGCAGAATACTATAAGAGCAGTGACCCTTCAGCAAACACAGAAGGATTGCTAGAGGATAATGGCAGAGCTATTGGGGCCATAGTTGCAGCTCTGTAACAATGTATGGATACTGTATGTTCATCTGATTTGGGGGATGCTTACTGTATGAGTCTGTTGGTTTAATTTAATACCAGACTATAAGGAAAAAAACGGAGAAAGAGGCAGAATACTATAAGAGCAGTGACCCTTCAGCAAACACAGAAGGATTGCTAGAGGATAATGGCAGAGCTATTGGCTAAAGCTAGAAACTGACAAGAACAGAGGAACTTGTGATTAGTTTAAAGAGGCACCCTCAAAAGAGGAGATGTTGGGGGAGGGGCGGAGGGAACCAGTCCTACTCATGACCCACAAGGTTGTCTGCAGAAACAGCTGTTCATCCCCCCTGGGTCATCTAGCATTGGCCACTGTTGGAAGACAAAATACTTGGCAAGATGGACCTTTGGCCTGACCAAGTATGGCCATTCTTATGCCTTATGTGGAAGTCAGATCAGGGTGTAAATCACTAATCCAAGTATGTGTGGATGAATGTGAGCAGATAAACTATGCGTTTTGATCTCTCATTTTCCCATAATCTTATATTCACAGCATTATCTGATTTGTAACAAAATAGATTTGAAAAAGATAAGTTTGATCAGGCGATAGAAATCTGTTTTAATTACTAATACTATCGCTAAAAGTAATTTTTTATTTTACTCTCCATGTTAATTTCTATATGAGCAGTGATCACCATGAAATCCTTAAAGGTGACATGCAAAAGATTTTTTACAATTGTGCTTCTTTATAATTTTTATTAAGAAGGCCTGACAGGTTATGTTTTTAGTTTTTTTACTTTGTGCCTAATAATAGCAAAAATGTCAAGTTTGGGTTAGCTGATTTAATTAAAAGTTCTTTTTGAGGGAGGTGATAACACAGATGTGTGTTGAGAACTCTCAAACATGAAATGAGATAATGTGATATTTAATCTTCCATTGCCCAATAAACCGGGAAATCATGTATTCATAAAAATAAAGAAAAATGTGGTTTTCATTCAGAAAGTTGAAAACACTTCCCTGCTTGGTTGCTCACTAAGTGTTCTTTCTCTTGTCATGTTCTAATTTTATTGCTTACAAGGTTGCCATAGAGTCTTCCATAGGAGATAAGATCTGAACTTCCAATATAAAAACAATCAGATTTTTCTTTGTTTTTAACAAAAGCCTTATCAGATGACTTCATATTTTACAAAGCTGGAAAAATAGGGACAAGTTTGAATGTGGTTTCTCCCCCTTTTCCTTTTAAATACTGCATTAAAGATATTTTAAAAGGTATAAGGTTTTAAGTCACAACTACAGGTGGGACCTCCCTGGTCCGGCACCCTCAGGACCTAAGTGGTCCTAAAACACGGAGTTTGCTGGACAGGGGGAGGTCAAGGCTCCCCTCCGGCCCTGCTCTCCACTGCCAGCCCCACTGCCCCCATCCTTGCTGGGGCCACACTCCTCACAACTGGGGACATCAGTCCGGCTGCTCTCCTGGCCTACGGCCCCGCTGCCTCTGGCCAGGCTGGGATTCCACTTCCTGCTGTGCTGGCCCCAGGCAGGGCTGTGCTCCTGGGTGCTGGCCTCATTGCCTCCAGCTCAGGCAGGACTGTGCTCTCTGCCCCTGTTGGCCAGGGCTGTGCTTTTGGGTGTCGGCTTCACTGCTTTCTGTCTGAGAGGGGCTGCACTTCTCACTGTGCCCTCCTAAACACCACCAGCCGGTGCGCTCCCACTGGCAGAGGTGTGCTCCTGAGCGGGGTTGCGCCCTTTGCTGCCAGTCCCAGGTGGGGCTGTGCTCCCTGCCATGCCAGCCTTGGTGCTGTCTGGGCTGCGCTCCCCACTTCCTGAACCTGTCCAGATGGGACTCTCTTGTCCAAACCATTCATGTTGCCCGACGAGAGTGTCCCGGATTTTAGCAGTTTAACCTGTACATTCTTAAAAATAAACCTTAACTGCAGTGTTTCTACCCCTACTCCCTTATTAGTTTTCCATCTTTTAATTTTCTGATAAACATAAATTACATTTTTGGGTGGTAAAATACTGTCATAAACGTTTTGGACTCTGCTCTTTGATCAGAAATTTAACACATACTGGAAAGTTATAATACTTATTGATTGCATTGTTGTATGAGCATCAGATGTGTGCCATATGTGAGTTTTCTGAGCTTTCCATCATTGCCAGGTCTACTTGGCTTGTGATATGCTTATAATTTGTTTGGCAGTGGAAAAGAAAGGACTATTTACTGTTACCACAGGCTCCTAAAATGTGGTTAGCTTATATATGCCAAGAGAATTGGGAATAGTTTTGTTAATACCACCTTTTCTACAAACAGTATCCCAAGGCATTAATGACGTTACAGAGCTAAATAGGATTTTAATGTTGAGGTAAGAGTTAAGACAAGTTTTTAGCTGAGATGCTTAAAGAAACAGAGCATGATACTGAAGGCTGTAGGAGCAGCAGCAGAGAAAGTTCTTGCACTAGTAAGGATGTGCCTGTGTGGAGATGGGATTGCAGTATGTTTTAGCAGTAGTTAAAAATTGACTCAATCTGGTAACTGGAAAACTAGCTGCCGTGGAGTATGGGTTCTGACTGCTTATTTTTGCTTTGTTCCCAGGCGGTTGTTAGGGGCTTGGAAGCACTGCACACGAAGCCCTGTTAAGCCTAGAGGGACTTGAAAGATTGATGGGGTGCAGATGGAGTAAGGTCAACCCTTTTCCTGCTGGAAGCAGAGCACTGCAATGTGTACTCTTTGAATAAGGATAGTTAACTAAAGGGGGGAAGTTGGCGGGGCTGGAAGGCAGAGACAGTGGAGACAGATCCTATCTATTTGTTGAGAACCCTTGGAGAGGTCACAGAGGGGTGAATGTGACAGTAACTCTCACTGGCACAGTAACACTAAACTAAGGTATTAAGTTTAAAACTCCGGCTATTATGCGCTGTCTGGAAGACTTGGGGGTGGGGTGGAGGGCAGGCCTTTATGGGAGTACAAAGCTATCACTTGCCATTATTTTGATCCCTGAAGCAACAAAGCTGGTATTTTTTAAGCGAAAAGCAGGATGGCAGCTCCTTAACACACAGAGAGGCCTATGATGGAGCAAAACCCCTGCACCCACAGAAGGAGTGTGAGGTGATTCACTAAAGTAAAAGCATCAGTGGAGTTAGCACAGGAATGAGAGTTTTAGGAAAGGGGCTACGACAGAGGAAGAGACTGGGTGTACAAGATGGGAGAGGGTATTCCAGATTTATGGGGCAATATGATAGAAGGCAGAAGAATGACAAAGGCCTCCCTGTGGCAGTCTGTGGACAGCTGACCATGCTTGAGTGCTAGGGAAATAATGTACAAAAGCATGACAAGCAAATTCTGTACTGAGACAATGGAGACGCCATATTTTGTGACTGTTACAGTTCAACAGATGGTCTTGTCTATAGAGACACATCTGCTTCTATTTGCTTGTCTCCTGCAGCTTTTTTTATTTATGGGAGAAACCTAGAAACAATCAACATCTGAAGAAGTGGGCTGTGCCTACGAAAGCTTCATGTTTTGTTAGTCTTTAAAGTGCTACCAGACTATTTGTTGTTTTTTAAGTTTATCCTGTACAGACTAACTTGGCTATCCCCTGAAGCTTTTGAACATTCATATTGTCATTTCATGCAAGTATTTTAAATTATTTTATTTCACTCATTTGTAATCAGTTACATTAGTTAAAAGGAGATTTTATTTTCATTTCCTTATTAAATAAGCACCTGGTTGATGCTTCTCAGTGATTTTGGTTTTCTTTTAGAGCTCTAATTAATGGCAAGGATTACACACTGGAAATCTTGTATTAAGAGCGATGAGTTGGGGTGGCAGGGAAGGAGGTTGGTGACTTTGTTTCCTAAAGTAAAAATTGGATGACTGGGCCCAGGCTGCTTGTGTTGTTCACCTATGAAGCCTAAAAATAAACCAAAATGTTGATAACCCCTATTTCAGCTATTTGAGTTATCCATGCCAAACATCTTTGTACTATTTCTGTTCCAGATGTCAGGGGTATTGCTGTCAGTGAGAAGAACATCGTGAAATGCTCTTCAGTTGTGTGTTTTATTATTAAATACTTGTTCCTTCTTTTATTTACAGGTCAAAATTTACCTGACTGATTCAAACTAGCTTTGTCTTAACCATGCTGTGGAAGTAAAAACATGATGCCAAACAGAGGTAACCTCTCCTCCTTCCAGAGCACTGCATCAGGTATGAAATGCACAAAGCACATGTATTCTTTAGTGAAGACTGCATTGATTTTGGTACTGCTGTTTTGTTTTCTCTGTAAATTGTCACTTCTCTGCCCTTGCTGTCTTCATACTTTGTTTTACTAGGAGGGACTCATTGCCCCGTAGCATATGGAGGCATCACAAACAAGAACAAATCTGTTTTATGTCGGGCCTCTGTCAATGGCAGAACTGATCTTTTGATTAACCACCTAGTCAGAAAAACAAGACAAGGAAGAAAAGAGAAGATGCTTCCTCTTTGTAACTCTCTCTAGCAAATACTTGGCTTAAGACAGAAGTGGGGAACCTTTTTTGGGTCAGGAGCTACTGAATCACAGAAAAATCAGTTGGGGGCTGCACACAAGTGACATGGGCCCCAACTGAGAAGGAGAAAGACACTCTCCACATTCTCCTCCCACACCAAAACCTAGGGGGGTTCAGCCTAGTAGATTTTGTGTGCTTCAGTCCCATGGTAGAGCAATGCGGGTTGGGGGGAAGGCTGGAGCACCAGCACAGCCTCCCCAATGCTGGGTGGGATCTGAGTCTTGAGGTCCGGATCCAGGCAAGTCAGGGGCCGCATCTGGTCCCTGGGTCTGAGGATCCCCACCCCCGGCTTAAAATATGATCCTTGCATTGTGAATGGGAAGTTAACTAATTACAGTTCTGGCTGACCTCCAGAAGAAATAAATTCCTTACAAATTACCAAGCACACCCAGCCTCTAGTCTCCATGAGTACATGTGTAGGGAGTACTTAGAAGTCATGGTACATTCAGAGAGTTGTTACTGAAACAAGAACTTTTTAAAAACCCCCACCAAAGACCTGGTATATGGACAGACAACTAGATTTAGTTAAGTGTGGGCTGAAATCCTGTTGATTTAAGTGCTTTGCTTCTTTGAGATTCATGTGTTGAGGAATTGCAATAAAGTGAAGTATGGAACAATTTCATTCAAGCAGAGGTATTTCTGACTTCTGTTAGTTTTGCTTGTTGACGTTTGAAGTACAATGAACTCTTCATTGCTCTGATGAAGAAGCATGATGATTTTCATGAATTTACTTGTTCTTTGGCAAATGACTTATTCTTCATGATATTAAATGCTCCCCATCAGCATTGGCGAGTAGTAATGAAACAGTCCCTAAAATTATACTACCGTCCCTGAACATGTTGTTGTACAGGAATCAGTGAAAATTAAGCAAAAGTAGTGTAACATTTGATGTTGATTTAGTCTAGTTGCATCATGAGCTTGTTTTGAATGGTTGAAAGTGTGAAAGAGATTTGGAATGGTGCGAGGGGTGAGAGGGGTTAAGCATAGGTTGAAACTCTAACTAGGATTCTGTGGTTTGGCAATATCTGTGCTCTGGCATGGGTGTTGTAGGACCAGAGAGTCCCAGTGGAGGGCCAGCAGTAAGGATCCCTGGGGGGCCAGCAGGGCAGTGGGCTGCCCACAAGGAGCTGACGGCGGGGCCGCCCATCGTGTGGCAGCAGGGCTGCCCAGCATGTGGCAGCAGGGAGGTTGAAACTCTAACTAGGATTCTGTGGTTTGGCAATATCTGTGCTCTGGCATGGGTGTTGTAGGACCAGAGAGTCCCAGTGGAGGGCCAGCAGTAAGGATCCCTGGGGGGCCAGCAGGGCAGTGGGCTGCCCACAAGGAGCTGACGGCGGGGCCGCCCATCGTGTGGCAGCAGGGCTGCCCAGCATGTGGCAGCAGGGCAGCCTGTGGAGCAGGGCTGCCCAGTGGGGCTGGAAGCCGTGGCATGCAGAGCTGCCCAAGGAGCCCCCGCATGTGACGTGCGGGGCTGCGCATAGAGCCCCGAAGCGGCGTGCACGGCTGCTGGGGAAGCCCCAGAGCATGCGGCTGTCCGGAGTCCCAGCAGGCGGTGCACACAGATGCCTGGAGCCCCAGCACTGAGCTGCCCGACGGGGAACCGGGGCCAGCAGGTGGGGAGCTGGGTGGAAGGCCAGTAGCCAGGCCAGGAGGGTCAGTGACAGAGGTACAAAAATGACCTCCCCATGTCTGGCAAAATCCCTATCTGGGACCAGTCAGGCCCCGAGGGTGCCAGCCCAGGGAGGTCTAACCTGTACTATTAAGAATTGGGGGGGGTGGATATGAAGAATGAGCTCTCGTAATCACAAATAACCTTCATGTTTTTGGTCTTCCAGTTTTGAACTTCTAAACACCACTCATACAAGTGCTTAATCTTTTTCAGCTGTTTTGTTTTACCAGACAGAGGTCTATGGAACACAGATGGCTTTTTCCTTTTTGTCAATTTAAACTAGATTGTCAAGTCCTGTTGGCGTTTTCCAGCTAACACATTTCACATTCTAAGGAACTGTCTGGCTCAAAGTACCAACAATATGATACGAAGCCTTTCATCACTAAAGTTGCTGGCTCAAATCTAGCAGAGATTATAAATATTCAAAAAGCATTCACATTGGCTGCTGTTTGACCCCATGAAATGAGTTGACGGAGTTGTCTGCCTTCCAGGGCCCTACATATTATAGCATGAAGGCAGGAAAGGGTATATTGGGTCACAGAACTGTCCCATCCATAGGATGGTTCGGGGTGGCTGCCCCAGACCCCACATTTTGGGGCCTCCTGTGCTGGCTGCCTCAAATGTCCTATGGGCAGAGCCCAGGGGATTGTGAGGGGCCTAGTGCAGGACAACAGCAGGGGTCCCACACACACACTCACCATAGTGGCAGGAGCTGAAGCAACCCAGCAGCCTACTCCGCTCCCACTGCAGAGTGCCCCAGTGTGTCACTTGCCACTGCCTCAGTGAACCTGAGCCCAGTGGGCTGGGCAGCGCGGGGCATGGTGGAGTAGGCTGCCAGATTGCCCCAGATTCCAATGTCACGGTAAATGTGTGTGGGGAACAATCTTTCTTGCAGCCCCATGCCAGGCTCCCTCAGTAATCTCTGGCTCTCGGGGGAGAGGGCGGGCTGGGACACAGCAGGACTTGAAGGAAGGGATGGGGTGGAGACAGGGCTTGTCCCATAAGATGAGTTGCCCTGGCCTTTGTGCCTGGGACACTTGGACCGCAGGCCACATATCCCGTAGGTTTGGCCCTGTTTGGTCATGCACTTGGATTCAGGTCTAAAGCTGCAGATACTGTCGACAGTGGGCATAACAGGGAAGATCTTCTCATGGATCAGTAACTGGTTAAAAGACAGGAATCAGAGGCAGGGATTAATGGTCGTTATCACAGTGGTAAGAGGTAGGATCACGTTAGCAACTGAACTGGTACCTGTGCTATTCAGCATATTCCTAAATCACTTGTAAAAGGGAGTGAATAGTGAAGTGGTAAAGTTTGCAGATGGTACAAAATTATTCAAGATAGTCTAAAACTGAAAATAAGGGGATCTCAGAGAACTTGTTGTTTGGACAAGAGAATGGCAGATGAAATCCATCACTGACAAGTGCAAAGTAATGCACATTGGAAACACATATATAAGGGGTTTTGAATTTGCTGTTATTTGGCGTCACCATGGATTGTTCTCTGAAACCTTCAGCTCAGTGAGCAACGATAGTAAAAAAGCTAACAATGTTAGGAATCATTAGGCAAAGGATAGAAAATATGACTGAAAATATTATCATGCCACTTGTAAATACAAGCCATGCTCACACTTTGAATACCACGTGCTGTTCTGGTCTGCCCATCTCAAAGGTATTAGTAGTGGAAAAAGTGTAGAGAAGGATGACAAATATGATCAAGGGTAGAAAACGGCTTCCATACCAGGAGAGATTAGACAGATTAGGATTATTCATTTTAGAAGAGATGACTAAGGATGGTGATGTGATCCACATCTATAAAATCACAAATGGTGTGGAAAAAGTGAATAGAGAAAACTTATTTATCCTTTTCCAAATAAAAAAACTAGGAGTCACCCAATGAAGTTAATAGACAGAAGTTCAATACAAACAAAAAGGCATACTGTTTCACACACTACATAGTTAACCTATCAAACTTATTGCTGTGCAGTGTGTTACTGGGTTCAAAAAAGAATTAGAAAAGTTCATGGAGGCTAGGCCCATCAATGGCTATTAGCTAAGGCAGTCAAGAATGCAACCCCATGCTTGGGATGACACTAGACTTTGACTGCTAGAAGGTGAGAGGGAGTAACGAGGGTGGATCTTCCCAACTGCCCCATTCTGTACACTCCCACTGAATCTCTGGTACTGCTCACTGTTGGAGAAAGGATGCTGGGCAAGATGGGCCCTTGACTCTTATGCTCTTAATCATTAGATGAGATAACAACTTTAACAATCAGTAAAACAGACTGCAGTGTGTGCCTGTGGTGAATAGGGATGAGAACCCTTTTCAGTTGATTGATTACAGTTGGAACTGCAGGCACTCAACACCTCAAGAAAATCAGGCCTGTGACCTGTCCTGTGCCCTTACCATAACTGCTTCCTTAACTATAAATACACAGCTAATTCCTTGATTTAGCTTGCCAAAGAGCTGTTTTAAAGGTTAAGTGAGATGTTTTACATCAGCCAAGAGCTGAGTGAAAAGCTCCTTCAGTGTAATTGAACAAAAATGATTTTTCATCTTGTGATCTGTTTGTGTATTTATAGTTTGTAATTCTGAACATATGTTCTACTAGGAACATGGGATCTTAAACAGCTTTCTGTATTTATAATGAACTTGAATTACCCTTTAATCAAGGCAAGGTAGCTAACTTTATTTATTTTTTTAAAGCTTAAAGACTGTAGTTTAAATAATATTTGTGCTTATTAGGACTGTAAAGGACTAGTCAAATAACCGATAAGCAAATGCTTATCGGATAGTGGACAGGATAGTCAACTAGTCGCCCACCCCCCACCTTGCTGTCTCTATTAAATAGAGGCAGCAAGGGGGTGGGGGACGACAAGAAGGAATACTTAAAAGCAGCAGCGCTGCACGGAGCATGGGGTCAGCTGCTCCGTGTGGTGCTGCTGCTTTGAATGCTGCAGGGAGCCCAGTGTCAGGCTCCTCGCGGCATTTCAAAGTGGCAGCGCTGCATGGAGCCTGGGATCAGCTGGGGACTCCCTAGGTGACCCCAGCCTCCGGGCGGTGCTGCTTCTTTGAAATGCTGGGTAGAGCCTGGGGCCAGCTGGGGAGTCCCCAGCTGATCCCAGACTTCACGCAGCGCTGCTGTTTTGAAATGCTGCGAGGAGGAAATTCCATTGGCTACTCGACTAGCAAATTAATTGCTGCTTAACATCCCTAATGCTTATGGAGAGCTTTTCAACTTTTGAGTGCTCTACAGAGAACGAAACTGTAACACCCTCAAAAAAATAGGCTATATTCTCATTTTACAGTGGGGGAAACTAAGGCCAGAGGGTTATTTATCCCACATTCGTATAGAACCTTGATTCAAAGCCCACTGAAGTCAGTGGAAACACTCCCATTGGCTTGAGTAAGCTATGGTGTGAGACAGTTGGGTAAGACCATGCCCAGTGTGGAGTGAGCGCATCCGTCTTCCTTGGGAAGCATGTGTGCAATTCTTGGCTTTGTTTTTCTCAACCTATATCTGAATATTCACCTTCAGTCATGAGGCCATATGGCCTAATTGCCCTGAAGGCTGGGGTGAGTTTACTAACTTGGGCTGAATGGCCCCTCCAATTGGAGGCAGGAGACAGAGGAAAGGGTTACATCCCCTGGTTGGAGGTGTGAGGGGGTCCAGACCCCCTCCCTCCATTGGACTCCTATTATTGGCTGTAGCTTCAGCCACTGAGGAAAAGCTCTCACCTAAACATGTTGACTCCCCGACGTCAGCTCACTTACCTGTTAGCCATAGCCTTTCCCTGAGCTACTTCCTGCTGCAGTCCCCAAATCTGCGGCGCAGGCTTCTGTCTTACCTCCTGGTTTGTCGGCTGCCTCCTTTTTGGTGCCTTTGAATTCCATGAGACTTCTTAGAGCATCTCGTCTTCAGCCTGGGTTGTGGCATCTCCTTCCCTGGGTTTCCATGGCAGCTTGCCTGGAGCATGCAGAGCACATTCTCTCCCTCTTATTGTCAATCCCAATTGAGCTGAGCTGTTCTCTTTATAGCCATGTACCTGGAGCATGCCTAGTAAAATGAAACAGGTGTGGCTTTCTCAGCCATCAATGCACCGTTAACCCTCTCTTTCCCAGTGTGGGGTGAATTCCATATGGATCGTGTACTTAGTCTCTCTCTGTCTCAGTTCTCTGTCTGCAAAATGGGATTAACTGCACTTTCCAACATCATAGAAATGTTGAGAGCGTAAATAATTGAAAGATTGTGAGCATTTAGACTTTATAGTGACGGGATCCATCACTCAAGACCCATTTGCAGGGATGCTGACAGCCACACTGAACCCCAGTGCTAGGTGGGGTAGGCCGGCTCCATGCTCCCAAAAGGGATGGGGCCTCAGGCAGAAGGGGACAAGGCTGTGGCAGTGAGCCCTCAGTGTGGCCTAGAGTGCGCAATGCAACCACCCTAGGGGTTAAGATGCCCGGAGCATGCTTCATGGTATTCTGGCATTGATTCAGTGGGCCCAGGGCTCTGGGCACTGCTGTTGCCACAGTAGTGGCAGCCAGGAGCCCTGGGTCCTTTAGAATCACTGGGCCCCACTGGGCCCCTTTGCTCCTCTTCCCCCCAGCCCTCGTCAGCGGGCCTGCCCATTTGTAAATGTTTGTGGCCTGTTGCCACACGGTAAATAGTCTGTGGGTACAGGCCCTGAGGTAGTTTGAGTCAGATCCTGCTCTGTGGGTAGTTGGATCCTGTCTGGCACTCATTCCACAGAGTCAGCTCCTCTAGCTCCTGTGCTATGGGACTGGCTGGGGTTGGATCCCCACTACAGGCATTGCCACGTCCAACGTTGCAGCACTGCTCAGGTTTGGTCCCGCCCCTTGACCGGACTAAATTTGTGTGAGCGGAGCTGTGACTCGGCTCATGGGGTTGTAGTATCAGTCACTCAGATATGGCCTTCCTGGATTCCTGTTGTCATATGTGGGCTAGATCTGTGTAGTGCTGGGACCTGCAAGGCTGCAGTGCTTGGAGCAGGGAGGCAAGCCCAGATATCTCTGTTGGACAGGAGCTGTCTCGTGACCCTTTCAGACATTCTGATGACCCAGTTTTAGGTCCTGACCTATGGGTTGAGAAACCCTGTTCAAAGCCATATCTTTAAAAAACTCTGTTAGAAAGGCAAAAGCAGCATTACTAGTGGTTAGGATACCAGAGTGGGTATCAAGGGATATAGATTCTTTGCCCTTCTGTGTCACTGATATGCTATGTAACCTTGGGAAAATCTCTTGACTATTTCCTGATTCAGTTTCCCACTCTGTCAAATTAGGATGTTAAAGTTTACTCACCATTGTAAAACATTATAAGATACGTAATTACATTAAAAATAATTTTTCATGATAGACTGAGTATATATGACTTTTTAACTAATTGTGAGGCAAGGCTTACTCATGCTGAAAACTAATTTTTCCCCCTTTTTCCTTTCTTTTTCTCACAGATTCCAGTAAGCTTATGGCAGAGTATAGCCACATACAAAACCAGTTGGAATTACAAAATACTAGTTTAGGAAAAGGCTCTGTGATGAATTCCTTTGAAAATGATCTCCAGGATATTATGGATAGCCTCAACCAGAAGAAATATTCATCAAGCCTTAAATTTAAAACAAATGGGGACTACTCTGGTTCCTATTTAACTCTAGCACAACCTGCGCCCACTAAACCCAGCCCTTCATCCAGTGTTAAAAATATACACTCTGCTACCAGATTTCAAGGATCTAAACCCTTTTCTTGTGAGAGCCCTTATCTTTCAGAGAAAGTTGTCTCCGTGAAGCATGTAGGCTCCGCGTCTCTATCTTCCATTGGGTACAGCCCAGGAAGGACAGACTTCAATATTTATGCCAACAGAGAGAATGAAAAACTCTTTGGTCAAGTGGATAAGTTTAATTATTCAAAATATAGTCAAAAAAATAAATCGTATGACGTCTTCTTTCCAGCAATGCTGGATGGGAAGAAGAACTCAGGCTCTCTTCTTGCAATGTGGAATGGAAATTCAGGTAGTGAAGTAATTCTTTCACCTGTTAGCGTTTCAGGGGCAGCAAGCATGCCCTCCAGCCCAAAGCAAAGCAGGAGGATGAATATTCAAGACAACCTAACCCTTCATTCAAGACCATCGAAGCAGAAGGATGCCATGACTGAGACTCTAGGTTCAAGAACTAGGAAGTATTCTGGTGGGTCACTGAGTCAGATGGGAGTTTATAGTCGTTCTCTGCCCAGACTGTACAAATCTACAGAAAGCCAGCCGATGCCATTAAGTTTGCCTCCAAGAAACTCTCTTGGTAATTCCAAAAGAAAAAAACATGGAGAAAAAGATCTACCTCAAAATGTGTTGGATGCTGATAATTACCTTAATTTTTCTTCTTGCAGCTCAGAGGTGTCACCATACACAAATACTGTGTCTGACAGTAATTCCTATGTCAGTTCAACTCTTAGTGTTCCTGCAAGTCCCCGAATAGCTAGGAAAATGCTTTTAGCATCTTCCTTCTCCCATGTTTCTGATGATTTTGATAGATATGGACTGTCAGGGGCAAGCCCCAGTAATTCTTTTTCCCCTCTGGATCTTGACAGAACATTCTCTGTCAGAAGAAACATTTCCACTAGTTCCATGGAATTTGATGACACTGACTTGGAAAGCTTCAGACAGACACCTACCTTACGGGAGAGAAAGAACAGTATTAGTTCAATTTCTGGAAGAGATGACCTAATGGACTATCACAGGAGACAAAGGGAAGAGAGACTTAGAGAACAGGAGATGGAACGACTGGTAATTTTTCTTTTCCTTTTAGTTTTCTCCAGCATGTTGTGCTTTCAAAATGAACCTTTCCAAATCAAACCATTCAGAGTATACAATGGATGCAAAACATCTGCTGTGTTTTGACATTCAAATACGTGACCGGGTGCGCTGGTGACTTGTTTACTATGTCAGTCTCTAAAGTTAATGGGTATATAGCATGAAGCATCCATATCTCAGCTGGTATAATTCAACCATCTGAAAAAATGTAGGAAAGTCACAGAAATTAAGGTACACTTCAGTCTGTGGGTTTTGCCAAAATAGCTATGTACATAAAACCCACAAATTGCACAGTAGGGATCCAGCATTTCCCATCCTTCCCCAAAGTTGGTGGCACCGTTTTGTGCTAACTGGATAAAAGGAAAATAACCCAAATCATATCTGTCTCCACTATAAGCTTTTAGGGCCATGCTTCAATAAGCTTTCTGCTAAAAAAAATAATCTAATGCTGGGTATCACCATGTCTAGTGAGCACCATTTGCCTTGCTTAGCCAAGACTGCCTCCTGAATATCTCCATCACAGCTTTGATTTCTCTATGTGATTGTTCTTTCTAGTGATCACAAAGTGTGGGGGAGGGAAGGGAGAAAATCTCTCTATTCTGTAGCACTTCTAAAATGTTTGATACAAGGCAAAATATTAAGATTATATAATGCTTCAAACATTGAAGATAAAATAATTAGAGCAATACTGATCAATCAATTAAAATTCAGTAATAGAGGTTGGACCTTCCTGGTCCGTTACACTTGGGACCTGACTGGTCCCAAATGAGGGAATTTGCAGGATCAGGGGAGGTCCCCTGCCACTGGCCTCCCAGGATACTGCCCCTCCTCTCTGTCTGGCTCCACTTCAGCCTTGCTACCTGTGATGGCGCGTCGGGATTGTCCCGTCTCCTGCACCCCCGAAATGGCATGAACAGACTCCACCAGCCAGTAGAATGGAGGATGTTTATATAGCACAGCACAGATGTAATCTGGTTACAGGAACTGGGGGCTAAGAGGCCTCAGTGCTCCCCTTGAGATAAGGGAGTCCCAGCCCCCCTCCACAGCTCCTTCTCCCCTGCTTTCCAGCCAGGAACTAACCCCCCCTCTCCAAGCCCTGCCCCCAGCCAGGGCAGCATTCCACCTTCCTTTGTTTCTCCCCATGGGGGGGTGGCTGGTTCAACAGGTTTGGAGTCAACTTTGCATAATGAGGTTTTCCCTGCTGGGTCTTGCTACACACAGCAGAGGTCACCACAGCCCCGCAAGTACCCCCACTACGTCACACTGCCACTTGGCTCCAGCCCTGCTGGTACAGGGCTAGGGCTTGGAGCTCCCCAGCTGCCGCGGCCCTGCTTCTGCCCCACCCAGCCAAGGCTTCTCTGTGGCTTCCCCACTTCTGTCCCTCCCAGGGCTTCTCAGTGACTAGGCTCTACGGCTGCCCTGCTGCTATCATGCTGGGAGTGGACTCCACGAACATGGGGCTGACCAGTCCCACTGATGCCCCACTTGGCAGGGGTTCCCTGGGGATGGGGCTCCATGGCTGCCCTGCTGCTGCTGCACCGGGACGCAGCTCTTCAGGGAAAGGGTTCACTGGTCCTACTGCTGCCCTGCCTGGCTGGGGTTCTCCGTGGATGGGGCTCACCAGGCTGATGGTGCGGCTCCCCTCTGCTGGACTCCCTGGCTGGATCGCATTCCCAGGTACCGAGGGGCTCTTTGGTCCAGCAACATCCATGATCCTGCAAAACCACAGATGTTGCCGGACCAGAGAGTCCCGGATTTAAGAGGTTCAACCTTTATCCCAAAAAGAGAAATCATACAACAGAAACAAACTCTGAAAAATCAAAAATCTTTCAAAAAGTAAATTTTCTTAAAGTTTTGTATATGAAAACTTCCCCAAGAGAAAATTTAACTTTTTTGCCCTAAATATATTTACACTTATAAGTTGCAGGGATCGTAAGATCATGTGTAAACACACAAGTTATACTAATATTACTCTATCAGTTTAGAAACTGAGGTACTTAAATAGTTGCAGTCCCATTGATGACTACTCCTAACTAGTTTAAAAATGACTTTGAATCAGTTTAGTTTGTCAGTTCTTTACACCTTTTGAGCTAAATTAAACTAAGGCACTATTAAACGGATCTAATTAAATGGGTGCAACTTTTGTAAGTAGACAAAGCCCTAATATATTCGCTGGAGTTTACTTGATTCTTTAATGACAACATTCAGGGGTACAGAGAGAAATTTGAGGAAAAAGTGGTGGTTGGTTATTGAATCCACAAATATGCTGATCCAATGGCCAGCATAATGATATAATGAGTGTACAAGAGTGTGACCATGCGTCGAGGAGCCACCTGACCCTGCACCTCCGTCCACAGCAAGATGTAAATCTGCCAGCCAGTAAAATAGGGAGGGTTTATTGCTTCTCAGAGATACAGCACGGCCCCACTACTTCACAAAGGGTCATGGCCTTCACTTGAAGGCCAAATTAAGAGAGGCCTTTGGTTGAGGTCTGTGAGGGTTTCTGTTTAATTCTTGCCCCTAAATCATGTATAGTCTCCCATTCCTATTTCCCGCTCCCGTCTCATTTGCATGAGGTTCATAGCATCACGGAGGTTTTAATTTCCTTGGTGTTAGTTATTTAGAGATACTGAACATATTGTACAGAAATACGCACACTCAGAGTTGAAGTCAGTTACTATTTTAAAAACCAAAGCAAACATTTTCAAAGGTGGGTGTCTAAAGTAAGGTGTCTACATTCAGAATTAGATTTCTAAATAAAACTACAGATTAAACCTCTTTAAATCAGGGACTTTCTGGTCCAGCAACATCAGCGATCCAGCAGGATCACAATATTGCTGGACCAAAGAGCCCCAGCACCTGGGAGTGAGAGCCGGTCAGGAGTCCAGCAGTGGGGAGCCCCACCATCCGGACTAATGAGTCCCTTCCATGGAGAGCCCTGGTCAGGCGGGACAGCAGTGAGTCCAGTCCCCAGGGAGTCCCATTGCAGCGCAGCAGCAGCGGAGCCCCATCCCGGTGTGGCAGCAGCGGGGCAGCTGCAGAGCCCTGTACCAAGGGAGCCTCAGCTGGGAACAGCAGCAGTGGGCCCATGGCAGCTAGGGAGCTCCATCCCTAGAGAGCTCTGGCCGGCTGGTGGCAGTAGGCCAGAGCCAAGCCCAAGCCTTGTAGCAGCAGGGCTGGAGCCGAGTGACAGTGGGACCAGAGCGAAGCCAGGCGGGGGACGAGGAAGTGTCCTGGGCGGCTGGTGGCAGGGGACCTCCACTAATATGGCAAATTCCCTCATTCAGGATGGGTCAGGTCCTGAGGGTGCTGGACCAGGGAGGGCCAACCTGTAGCTAGATTTTCAGAGATACTGAGGGCCTATCATTTCCATTAAGTCAGTGAATGCTGCAAATACAGCTGGCTGAAAAACTTGGGGGAGAAGAGAAAATCACCTTTTTCACCACATTTTTCTCGAAACCTTTTGGGATATGTGAACTTTCTTCCATTTTTTGACCAGATCAAGGTACAAATGGTCAGTACTTCTGATAATGTGCTGATTTATTTTGGTGCCAGATTTGACGTGTCAAATGTGGAAAATTTTGGTGTAACCTTTCTACTGTGTTGGAACCACTAACTCCTAATACTGGAGTACTTTCCAGTGAGCAGTGCTACCAGCTTATGAGTTATACCTCACATGTTTGTGTATGATACAAACCCCAAAACATACTTAAGTTAGAATACAATCAATTGGCTGAATCTAGGAAAAAGCAAGGTGGGTGAATAGCAGTATTGATTAAGATACTGACTATAGTAAGGAATGATACACAAAGGGACAGAAACAAGTGGATAGGTATTAAGGACAATCTAAGTAAGCTGATGCTATCTGATAGCACCTAAGTAACAACATTGTTTGAGATTGTGAAGTGCTGATGTGGAAGCAGTAAAATAATTTACCTGTAGGTGGAGCCATGTATTTAAAAATGTTATTTGGAATTATGTAAACTATTGTCCACAGACCCTTTATTGGTTTGGATCTGTAAAACATACTTTTATAGGTCAAACAGCCTTTCTGGAAGTCAGGAATGTATTCATGAGAGATTTTAAATTATATGAGCAATGAATTAACAAGAAATATGAATATGGAGTTGGAGGAGAACATAGGAATTTGTTTCTCCCATTTTGTTTAACATTGAAACATGGCAAAAGTTTATTCCTTGAATAGGAAATAATATTGTGGCATCATTATAGTTATGTGTGATACGTTCATGTGCGTTGAAAGAAATAAGCATGGCTTGGATTTGCAAAGCAGTGCATCATTCATTAAAATAATTACAATTAATTTTACAATTAAGTTTAATGTAAGATATCTGGCTCAGTCTTCCACACTGTTTGAAAATCTCAGTCACTTTCTTTAACTTTTATGAAAGCATTATTTACATATAAAAAAATTTGTAGTTAAGTCTCACAAACAGCTCTGTGAAGTAGTTGAAGGCTAAATACAGATAATTTCTCTCCATAGTTATATGGAGAGATCCCCGTCTTGACCGTGTCCCCCCCCCCACCCAAGTGGATTTTCAAAAAAAAGCTGCGGCCTCCCATTATGTAAATGAAGAGCTGGAAATTCAAATCCCAGCTTCATTTACAATTTCGATATGTCTAATTTACATCCCTTTATCAAAAAAGGGATGTAGTTTAGATGTACCCAAAGTGGCGGCTGCTGGGTCCATGTTCATCTCTGTGTTGCATGCCCCGTAGTGGGAGGGGGGCTCCGTGCACGGCCTGTGCTTCAAGCATGGCCCAGGCAGCTTCTATTGGCCAGTTTCTGGCTATTGGGAGCTGGTAGGATTGTGCTGGGAGCGGGAGGCAGTGCACGGAACCCTCCCCCACTGCAAGGGATGCGCAGCGCAGAGATGCACGTGGAACCAGCCACTGGCTGCTTTGAGTGGCATGTGGGGCCACAGCAAGTGGGAAGCCTTCCTGAGAGTCCTGCT